TCCCCAATATAACTTTTCGGTGTGCTTTTTCCGTATCGGAAGAAATTATAGATGACGATGACTCACTTGATGCAAACACTTGAACCTGGCCAATTGATCAGTTATAGATTCATTCATAAAACAACCATTATAGCTTGGGTCTGAAGATAAAGAACAACCAACATGAGCCAAGGCCATATTATTATCGTCGGGTGAGAGCCACTTGAAGTCTACCCTCTTCTTTCCCCCTTTTTTTTATATTTATTAACAATAATTCAACAGAGCCGGCGTCATCGGTCTCAGCGCCGCAGTCAAGCTGTCCAAATACTCGAAAGTCACCGTCATCGCGAGAGAGTTACCGGGAGATGTTGGTATTGACTACGCCTCCCCCTGGGCAGGGGCACATTTCCGCCCCACCCCCGCAAAAAACGAAGACGAACACAGGGAACAGGACTGGATGCGCCAAACCTACCAAGAATTCGAGGAGATCGCAAAAAATCACCCGGAAGCCGGCGTGGATTTTATTCCTGCAGTTGAATATTTCGATACCGCTGACCTGACCTCCTTCCTAGCAGAAGCACATGGCTACACCTCATGGCCGGACTTTCGTGTTCTGCACCCTGCAGAATACCCCCCTCAACATCCGTCTATCCAGCTAGCCGTTACCTACCGCAGTTGGGTCTTGAACTCACCGGTTTATTTGAAGTGGTTGCAGACGCGGGCTGAGGCGCAGGGGACTCGGTTCATTCGAGCCCATTTGGAGAACCTAAAACAGTGTTTGTCTGTCTATCGGATGAATAAATCCCAGGATGAGAGCGATCATGTTGCGGGTGTTGTCGATGCAAGTGGGAGAGGGTTTGATGATCCCTCCTCTTTCCCCTCGCGGGGTCAGTTCATCATCGTCTCGAATTACTGTGATAAAACTATCAGTCATCATTGGAGTGATGGTTCCTCTACGGTCATCATACCCCGGCCTCTAGGTGGTGGGACTGTCATTGGTGGGACGAAGGAGCCTAATAACTGGTATGCTTTTTGAGTTCATTAATTCCCCTAGGTTAGAGTGGCGCTAACGCTCGTCAGGTCTGAGGATATCGATGATGCTTCAACTGAGGCCATCTTGAAGAGGGTGAGAGATCTATGTCCCGAGATGATTTGCGAACAGGCGGATGGGCCGCTTTCGACGAATGGGTTCGATATAAAGCAAGTCTACGTTGCTCGGCGCCCAATGAGACATGGTGGACTCCATTTTGTCACGGGGCAAATAGTCGACCAGGATAAAAGCACTCTTCCCCTGGTTTCTTGTTACGGTGCTGGAGCAAATGGGTACAAAATTAGCTGGGGATTGGCAGGTGAAATTGCCGAGTTTCTTTCTTAGTATGGATGCAGCGCACTTCTGATTCAATGGAAAAGATATTTATTCGTTACATTTTATTATAGATTTCCCCTGTAGCGCATCCAAGTACACGGGCATGAATTTAGGGGTAAGGTCCTGACTCTGTTTAAGTGGACTTAACTTCGGAAGCCTTTGATGCAATCTAGAGTCAATCAGTTTCGTCTATACTATAAAAGTGATAAACAGTAGGGACCAATACTAAAGAGAGTGGAGCATGTCACTACGCAAGCTTGCGAGTGTCATGATCAAATGAGTCTTATTTCCCTTGAGCAGACTTATCTAACCAAACAGCATTGAACACTTGAAAAAAATATCGGGTATCCTATTTCGCCGTATGGGAGTAAATATGATTTTGAGATAGTATGTACAAACATTATTGAGTCCTCCTCAGAACTCCGATCCTTCTAAAACCAATGCCAATAAAAGAAATATATGAAATGTACCGCCAGATTAACCACCCAGCATCATCCAAGCCATGGTACCAGCCCAACCAAAGACAAACATCAGCGTCAAAATACTGGCACCGGCCTTATCCCCAGTCGTAATAGGCTTGGTTTTGTCGTTATCCCCATCCTTTCCTTCACCCGCATTGGGGTCACTACTGCTGTTTCCACCAGTCTTGGAGGTGACAGGGCCAAAGGTGCCGGTGTCAAAGTTGATCATATTCGCAAGGAAGACATTCGTTGCGCTGATCTCTTGCTCCATGCCGGTCGATCCGTCCCACTTGTTTTGATACCACGTGATACCGCACGAGTTGTTGTTGTTTCCCGTGCAGGACTTTGCGGCGGCTTGTGCGGAACTTGCGAGTTTGGGCTTAATCTGTGCTGCAGTATCGGGGACCAAGAGTGCGGTGAATGCGAGCCATGACGAGGTGAGGCCCTTGAAGAGGATTTCGTTGAAATTGCACTTTTTGATAGGCTCACAGGTTATGTCTTCGAAGACATCGCCGTTTGGGAAGAAGGATTTTAGGGTTTTTCCTAGTAGGCCGTCTACTGGGGTCTTCCACTTTTCGTCTCCATTTGTCTGTACAGGTGGAGTGTTAGTGTCTGCAAATAGAAGGGTTGTCCGCATGGAATGGGGAAATGGCGAATATTGAGGTCCCACTTACAAAGTTATACATGTAGGCAGCACCCATCAGGTATGTGCCGTAGTTGTAGGTCCACTGGTAGTTACCAGAGTCGGCGCAGTCATTTGCCATTTGTGTTGAGTCGGCAACATTCCAAGTCTTGTTGTTCACTAGCGGCGACGAAACAGACCAATCCCAGATCTTCTCGGCCCATTTTGTGTATTTGTCTTCACTTGTGTAGCGGGCAAGGCGCGCAGCGAGTTGGAACAGACCGCCGTTTGAGATGGAGTTCTTCATGGTATATCCGTCCTGGTAAGGGAAGAGCTGCCAACGCAGACCACCACCACATGTCGTTGTATCCCATCGAGCGGTTTGGGTGTTAAATACACCCTGTGCGAGCGAAAGCCACGAGAATTGGTCGGGGACATCAGGGAATTTCAGCTCGGCGGCCAACATAGCTGCGAGACCCCAGAACATTTGGTCGTCATTTCCCTAGAGATTCAAGAATAGTCAGAGAGATATCCTCTCAAGGGATTTTGGAATCGGTGTATAATTCTCACCAGGTAGCTACTGTAATTGCTGGGCATGTAGTCACCCTTATCGCCTGATTGCCACTCCATTCCTTGGCTCACCAAAGAGTTATAGGTCGAGTCACCCGTGAAGTGCCAGTATTGAAGCAGCGCAAGGAAAAGAGCAGATCCCTCCCACCATTTTTCAGGGAATGAGCCAGGGATTTGTCCAGTTTCATTGCCGGCATACCACCCCATCATGGAGTAAGCACTCGTACTTGCGGCATCTTTGATTGATTCTGTCCAGCGATCGCGAAGTCAGTTCTCTGCCACCTTCGATCGGAAAATAAATTCGAGTTGCCATGACGTACGTTCACTGCTGATGTCTAATTCGATCGCGGGCGTTAATGTTGAAAAGAGGGTTGTTGCGATGAGACCATTAAGTATAGACCATGTTCCGGACAAGTGCATTTCGGCTTAAATCAATCATAGATGATATCGATCTCAAAGGGGGAAGGGAAAAAAAACAATTGCAATTCGAGGTGAAAATTGGGCGAGACCTTGCTTGTCAAAGGGAGTTTGGGGGTCGGGGATGCGGCGCGATGATGTATGGGCAGAAGACCCCCAACCCCAAAAGTTCCATATTAAAAATAGTTTTCAGGGCTTTATCCACTTTGCTGTGGGGTTGAGAGAAATTGCAAGCTTTTTCTGGTTGGTTTTGCAAAGAGATGACCGACGATCAACCAGTAGATCTATCATGTCGTTCGCCACCGAGCCGAGTATGGGCCGATATCGTTTGTGTGCATACAAAGTTCAACAGTTCAGGGTTGAGTGGGATCAGTATTGGCAGTTCAAGTTGTCGTATTCTTATGTGAACTGAGTGAAAGCGACAGATCAGCGATAGATCAACAACAGATGATGTCGAATAATATAGGGTCTTTTGTTTTCGGATAGGTTAGGGCTTATTTAATTCTCCACTCTCTGGGTCACCACGCATATGCCAAGACATATAACGCGTGTAAAGAGGGCGAGACAAGCTATTAGACAGATCCAACCAAGGAACCTGGACCTCTTGGTTTTATATTCAATGGTCTATGTGCTCCGTACATACAAAGTACATAGTACGATGTAATGTTTCCACATCCATCTATATAGTCCCTAGCTATTATAGTAATTAATGAGTGTATTACCTTATATATTAGATAAATATACTTGTTCCTCGTCCAATATTGCCACATCATTTAATCTCAACCTCTTCAAACTCTTACAAAATAAACCCTTAAAACCCTGAAATGACCGTTTTCGGATGACCGCATTTGGTAAAATCACAACCGTGGGCCTGGGGCAGAAAAGTGGGTCCAGGGGTCTCTGACGTCAGAGGCGGGAAAGCCACCTGGGCAGTTCTCTTCATTTTGACGATCAAAAGGGCTGTGTATTTCATCCCAAGAAAGAATCAGGGGTTTCACTTACCTAGGTAGGTTTGAGGGTCCAGACTCTACCTTCTTGTATAACCTGTGTTGTCTCTTGACCTTCACCAAAGAATTGTGAGTGAATTTTGATGGCAAATATTGATCTCGTGAATCCTTGCGGGAAGATAAAAGCAAAACAATCGGTTGCCATAAGGGATAAGCTACCACAACTAATGGGTTTATGTGAGGGGCGAACGCCCTAGGAAATCCAACTACCGAATTGCGACTGCAGACAATCCTTGGGTTATAATAACGCGGCACCCAGGACAGAACACCACCTATTTTCAAATAACAATAAGGCACTACGAACAATCAATGCACAACATCCAATGACAGCCATTCGGCCCCACATCAACACCAATAGCTACCTCTCAATTTGATAGCTTTGCGACATTGTCTATCTTTCTCGCATTATGCTTCGAGTCAATGTTTTCATGGCTTGCCAGTCATCTTCAAGGCAAGGTGGACTATGTCACTAACAAATTCTACCCGCTCGCAACATTCCCTGAGAGCGAACCATGATCAATCGCTTAATTCAACAGACTTTTAGTTCTTGCACACTTCTATTGACAAAACTGAATCATCTACCCCAAATGAAACCCAGATATAAGTCCCGAAAAGACACATATCCACAAATAAATAACACCAAAAAATGGAGGAGAAAGAGAAAAGCCACCATTTTGCACACCGATGCTCCTATGCACAAGCCCATATTGATCCTGGCCGTACGTCGCATTGAGATGAACATTACCAGAAATTGACCCATCTTCCATCCGAATCCAAGTCCGCACATCATCCCCAAGCGACTGCTGATCCAACAAAATCTGCCTTCCACCACGCGCCCATTCACCATACCCTCCATATCCCGTATGTCGGCCGTAGCACATGTTCATGCCATTTCCCGTGACATTGAGGCCAGGAAGCCTACTATTCCATTTGAAGCACCTATCAAAAGAAAAATATATCAGTTAAATGAGTTCTTCTTGGACTTGGCCTCGAAATTAAGGATAGAATATTTAGCGTGGTGTGATCCATACCAGTCATTATCGTGATCATGACCACTGAAGGTTGCCGCCAAGCCCGTGGTGTTCAGCAGAGCGCTTATGAATGGAATGTCTTGAGATATGTAGCCGGTGTCGGAGTCATAGCCTTGTTCCTGGACCCGTTCTCCGTTGATCCCTGGTTCGCGGGATGGGCTAACGCCAGATTGCTGGAATGCGCGCATTGGATGAGCTGGGATATGGACGAAGGCTAAAGATGGTATTGTTTGCCCGTAGGTAGACGTTAAGTTTGCATTGGCTTCTACGAACCATTCGACAACCTGTAACAAGTCAGTATATGAAAATTCAACATCAAATCCCGTGATCGAGGATGAGAATATGTGTGAGTCCATCCTGGGACTTCATCAACGCCGTGGTGCTTACCTTGTCATCTACCCAACTCTGTCTTGCAACTGACTTGCGATCTTCATCCTCTGCCAAGGCATAATGACCACCTTGACTATCAAAGAACCATAAAATAAATACCGGGGCGCTGTCATTCGAAGACTCGTGTGGAAATATTGGCAGGTAATAGTTCGTGATTCCGGCAGTGGAGCCCGAAACCCTTCGCTGGGTTAAGCTATTTTCATATTTTGTCTCTTCATGAAAGATCTCTTCGGGGTCCAAATTAATCTCGCTGTCGTGATTCCCGTAAGTCGATGCCCATGGTAAATTACGGTCGACTAGTGGTGCAACAATTCGATCAACGTAGACACTAGAGTTGGAGCCTTGTGTTGTTGCTTCGCCAGAGATTAAATCTCCATTGAGTACCACGAGTTGCACTTCCTCAGAAGAAAGAACGCTGTTCATTACCCCCCTGGTCTTGTTGTCCGCCTCGTCATCTTTGAATATAATTAGCATCTCGAAATACTTATTCGAGTTTGTCATCGTACCTTCAGCAAAATGCAAGTCGCTAAAAACCGATATTTGGAACGTGCCATTCTGAGTCAATCGCAGCGTTTCATCTCTAGCACGACGTGGGTATGTGGATCGCCTGCGAATTGACATCGTCGTTGTGTACTCAAGTATAGATTATGCTGAAAGATCAACTAAGGAAAATGAAGACTTGCGGCTCTCAATAAATGTGACCAGGTTTCGAACAATTTTCTATCGAAAGAATCCAAGATACAACGAAATATATCATGGGAGTTGCCAGTTGCAGATAGTAAGATGTAACCTTACAGAAACGGCACCGCTTCGGCCAGGGCAGAGGAGGAAAACCCAAATCCTGAGCGATCCATGGCTTGGATACCAAGAATGCTCTCTGGATAAATAGTTTGCCGATTGGTCATTGGAATTATAATTCGAGTACACACAAAGCCATGTGCCCCAGAATGATAAGAGACTAAAGGAAGAATTGTATGTTCCCGGCCCTTCCGTCGGCAAGGTTAAAGCCTCGAATACCGGCGCCTTTAGCGCCAAGGAGCCTAACTGAAGGCGCCAAGGAGTCCGATTCTAAATATCGGTGTTAATGTATCTACTATCACCGTTTAGCACCTGGGCATTTATGCAGGCTGCTTACGGTACGTCATGGCCAAGAGGTTACTTTGTAGGTAGGTCCCATTGTGGTGGGACCCATCTGGACTTTTAACCTTTAGCCATTGGCAACTCAGACTGGATCACCAATCAGATTTACACGTTGAGATCCACTCGGTAAGCACCCGGACAAAGCATAAATGGAGACCTTAAATCCGAAGTGTGTGATCAGCAAGGAGAACATGATATCCCTGTCTAAGTGATAGACGATCTATCGTACGGTCGAAAGTAACAAAATAGTCCACCACATGTATTCAATCTTGGAGAAGGAAAGGTTTTACCAACTTCAGAAGCAGAAGCCTCAACAGAAGTCGAGAGCTAAACCCGCTTCCCACGCTAAGATTTTAAGTCGACGCCCCTCGACGCCTCCTGCGATAGGAGCACTCATAGCGTGATCCAGAAATATAAAGGCAGAAACCAATGAGCTATTTAGACAGAAAGAGTTTAGTGCAGAATATGCCCAGCACATGCTATAATAATGCTCGACACTACCTACAATACTTAGTCTAGAAATAAAATCAAAGACTGTTTCCACCCCACGCCCCCCACCTCTCCCCAATAATTTTTTCTCCATACATCTCACTCACACCCTGATGGCCCCGAATACTATTGCACTCTTACTTTCGATTTCAGATATCGACGCTGACTCGATGCCTAAACTTGCCCAGGTGCTATTTTGATGCAGGCTGTGTAGTACAGTGGCTGGAGGAGTGCGTGTGGGGAAACCGGGGCTCTGTCTCACCGCAATAACAATTCACCTGGGCAGCCTTGGAGCCAAGAGCGTATTACCAAGCACCTTGGCCATGGCCACCTGGGCCAAGAATGTATTACCAATCATCCATCACCTTGTACAGATACATAGGTACAGACATAACCATTCGGTTTCCGAGGAAACCAATTGGTTTCGCTTCAGTGTTACCAAAAGGAGAGACCCGGCATGTCTGCTATCTCTTATACAACAATTATTCCCATACACTTTGGTGTTTCAGAGCGTTGTGCCAAACCCTTCACAGATGGCTAATCTTCTAGGCTCCCTGTTATCACTACTACTTACATTCATCTACACTCCATCTCTCGCTTACTCTCCCAATCTCCGCGAAATCTACAGATTCCCCAACGGGACCTAGACCGAGAACATCGCAGTTCGACCAAATGGCAACCTCCTCGTCGCGGATCTGAGCACAGCAGAGCTCTGGGAAATTGACCCTTCAATCCCCAGCTCAGCTCATCTAGTCCACCACTTCAATGGCGCCGAAGACGCAGATAGAATCACGGAGCTTTCACCAGATATCTATGCAGTAATTGCATCTAATTCAGTCTATACGCTCGATCTCAGAAACTACGAATATACGCCCAAGTCAGTCCTGATTGCGAAACTCCCCGCTGGATATTCGAACGGCATAGCTGCTCTAGATGAAGGGAACGCAGTCGCCATAACAGACTCCCAGCTCGATCTTATATGGCGTCTCGATATCCGCACCGGCGAGTACACCGTGATCTGCCAAGACGAGACACTGACCGCAAATCGTGACATGGGGTTGTTGCTAGGGGTCAACTGGTTGAAGATACTTGTAAATGATTATATGTACTACACCAACAGCCGGAAGCGGATTTTCTGTCGCGTTCGAATTGATATGCATAAAGGTCGTGCTTTGGGGCCTTATGAGATTGTAAGTTGGTCTGCATGGGGTTGGGTATTTGGCGGGTCTTGTTGATAATATCGTTATGAGAGTCTTTCCTAATGGGTCTCATGAGGTTATTGCGGGTTCGAAGGACCCGAGGGATTTGATGACTGCTACGTCGGCGGCTTTTGGAAGGACAGAGAGGGATCGCAATGTTCCTCATATTACTACCGGAGGGGAGACGAAGCTTCCTGTTAACGGCACGTGTACCAGAGGGGGCGAGGTTATGGCGCTTTCTGTGGAGTTTTAGATCATTATCTTCATATATGTTGTAAGAGAAGTCAAGTCATATGTACGGATTTCCATTCCCTAGTAACAAAACGAGACACCGAATGCCATTATGAATAACTGCGCTTGCATGATCGTGTTGGTCTCCAATACCCCTCCATTGCTCCGGATATTCTTTTTTTTTTTTTTGTTCTAATTTCATGTTGAAAGGTTGGACAACGCTTCTAAAACACAAACCCCGTATACACCTACATGCGCATTCATGAACACAAATGCGGATAACGCTCATGACTCGAGTTCACCACGGCGAAGTGCTAACAAAGCCCGGACATCCGTGACGTATTGTAGAGCTTCGAGCATGGGAATCAAGTGGAGCAGACCGTTGTCTGTGGGATCGTTGATCCAACCTTCGATGGGAATGGCATTATCTGGCAACGATAATTAGGTTGAGCGCACTAAAATAGATAAAAACGGAATTGTAAATTACCTTCGTGGAAAATATAGCTCATCGGGCTGTTGTCCAGAATCATCACCTTGCTCAGATCCGGTTCCACAGAACTCAGGTCCTTGATGTATGCCCCATTACGGAATGTGCAATGCTGTCGGTATAAGCGGCCTTGGAAGTATTTCCGTTCCTGCTCGAGCCAGTCGATGACAGGGTCGGCATACTCTTGAACGCTGGCCGTGAAAATGACGAGCTTATACCATTTGCTGACCTTGCGCAGGAACTCATCGCAGTGTGGTCGTTTATGGACATAATACAGAATGGGATGCTGAGGGCCCAGTGTCGTTTGCGGTCCGCCCGGGGACAATGAAGTAGTCGTGGGTATCGAGAGCTTAACCTCGACCATGTGACCACTGGACATCCGGCCACCCTTGGCGAGCGAGTGAATTAGGGTCTCGTCGAGATCCAGCACCAGGGTCTTCTGCGGAGGTCTGGCATTGCGGGGAGCTGCGGTATATGAAGGTACTCGTGACGGGAGGAGTGGGCGCGGTGGAGTTGGAGAGTGTGGGTACTTCGTTATGCGGTGGATGTTGGGAGAGGTTGGGGACTTTAAGCTATCCAGGTGGACAGCCCCCTGGACTCGAGAGACACCCTCGGGCATTGGATGTCCTAAATCTGAGCTCTGGGATCTTCGGTGTCTCTGCCGCTTGAGAGATTCTTCATTATGGAGCTTGATTCGTATAGACCGACGAGGCGTGTGCTCATGCTCTTCCCCTTCTGGGATTGGATCTGGATCGTGGCCTTTGGTCTTAGTAGGTCGGTTCCTCCCGCTTGAGAGATTTTTGATATGCCGTCGATCTGTGTCGGACTCTGACGTTGTTGATACAATAGATTCGTGAGAGCCTTGAGGTCGGAGCTTCCGGGTGGAGCCACTGCGACGCCGACCTTCTACCCGGGTGGCCCCTTTAGCCGACCGGATCGTTGGGTCGGCAGAGGAGCGCCGCAATTTGTGCACAGGTGCAAGAAGCGAATAGTGACCATCATCAGCCTGGAAGCATTGAGCCAAATACACACCGGGTGCAGCAAACGTAGACAGGATGAATTTGATAGTTTCCGTGATCGCATCGAAAAACCGTTGGGTAATTAGACGCCAAGTACTTCGAGCAGCGAGCGTGCCATTCTTGTGAGCTTCATGCAGTAGCGGTGTCTTCTCATCTAAGTCATATGCGCCATCTTCTCCATCTTCGTTCACGGGCGGTCCATCGTTGTAGCTCTTCTCGGTGGGGTCAAGGGACCGAAAGTTATCCTCGCTATAAGACCGGAGTTTTGAAAAGTCTGACGGTAGAGGTGCACGTTTGCTATCGCCTTGAGACTGCGATCTATGGCGTGAAGAGCTGGAAGATTGGCCAATGACTCGCGAGGACAGGATATTCAACGAGTTCATCTTCCCTCAAGGCGTCACGGGAGACAGGGGCGCAACGATCTGTTAACAAAGGAATGAGCAAATCATCAAACCCACTTAAAGCGGTCCATGAGATAAGTGTGCAGGGGGTTTGATGGTAGTCGGAGGGAAAGAGGGGGATCGCAAGGAGGTGTAAGCTGTTCTAACCTCAATGCGCCAGTCACCCGTGCCTCGGAAGTACTTCTGCAACTCCAATCTGATCTATACAAATCTCAAAGCTGATGAAAAGCAATCCAAAAATGGAAATGAACTGGAAATGGAATAATAGAAATGCGGTCAAACTGAAAGAACACCAATAGGAAAAGCCAACGCCGAGACAATAGAGGATCAATGAGTGTGGGGAAGCGGACAAGATCAAACGGCAGAAAATCAATTCTTTGTCTCTCCCACTCTCTTGGGCTTTCTTGTGAGAATCAGAGAATACTCTTGATCAACGCCCTATTTACAACTTGCTCGGTGTGGTCTGGTCTTGAAATTCGGTATGTTTATTATTTGACACTTCACACCTCTATTGCTCAACCCCCCGCTGAACACCACGCAGATTTCCTCCCAACATCCCACTTCCTCATGCCGTCTTCTTTGGCCCTGACACCGGGCCTGGGGTCATTCCTCAAGTGCCTCAAGACAAACCCCATTGATACCTCTATTGAGACTCTGATTTCGTACGTATCTCAAAACTTCCAGTCATAGCCGCTACCCCCACCGACGATCAAACTCGCTAACATAGTATATTTCAATCAGATTGCTCAAGCGCCGTCAAATCCGCCATTCGCGATCATGTGCCACAGCAACCGCCTATTTGCTACGGAGTGTGATCTCCGCATGCCGTACAACAGATTCAGCAAAGCTTATTGAGCGGGTGCAGAGTGTGGGCAGGCGACTGATGGCTGCGCAACCGCGCGAGATGGTTGTGGGAAATATTGTGCGCCGTGTCCTAGGTCTCATTCGTGACGAAGCCGAAGATGATCGCGACGCTGAATTCGCTCTTAGCGACATTGGCTCAGAGAGTCAACCACAAACACCCCGGGCTTATGACGGTCAGTCCCAACTTCTGGTCCCAATATCTACGCAGTGACTCATATATTCATAGATCCATCCTTGCCTTTGGATCGCGACTCGCCCGCCTTCCGGTCCGAAGAAAGATCCTCTCGCCCCGCTCTGACCTCTATGTTCAGCCTTCTATCCCATCCCGAACCCGAGAACTCACTTCCCAGCACCCCGGGTTCCTCCTCTCCAAACGGACGTCTCCCTGGGCACGGCCCAAGCAAAGACGTACGAGCCGAAGTGCTGGAGGGTATTGGCGAGATCATTGATGAGCTCGGCCAGGTCGACGATCAGATCGCTGCCTACGCATTGGACCACATTCACTCCAACGAAATCATCCTCACTCACACATCCTCGACCACTGTCCAGAAGTTCCTGCTCAAAGCCGCCGCGAAGCGAAAGTTTACCGTTATCCATGCCGAGTCATACCCGAATAACCACGAGGCTACACACGCCACTATCAGTGGCAGTGCTGTCAGTGACGATGATAATCTCGGCTTGGAGGCTTTCCAGAAGCCACTGATCGAGCACGGCATCACCGTCATCCTCATCCCAGACTCGGCCGTCTTCGCTCTCATGTCTCGAGTCAACAAGGTCATCCTCGGTACACACTCCGTCCTCGCCAACGGCGGCCTCGTCGCCGCTGCTGGCACCCGTGTCATCGCCCGTGCCGCCAAGGTCCACCAGACCCCCGTCGTCGTTGTCAGCGGTGTTTACAAGCTCAGCCCTGTTTATCCATTCGACTTCGACTCTCTCATTGAATACGGTGACCCAAGCATGGTCCTCCCATACGAGGAAGGTGATCTCGTCGACCTGGTCGATGTCCAAAACCCCATCTATGACTACGTTCCGGCGGAACTCGTCGATCTTTACATCACTAACCTGTAAGTTTCAAGCACCCATCCCACTAATCTCATTTTGCCATGCTAATTTGCTTTCCCTACTCTAGCGGCGGTCATGCCCCATCATACCTTTACCGCATTGTGTCAGACCACTACCGCAAGGAAGATATCAGCTTCTAAGCTAGTAATTGGCTTAGGCAATTGTGTCAAACAGCTCATGAAAAATCAACAAAAAAATCATTTGAGGGACATTTACCCGAACGATACCCGAGGAATTACTTTGACGATCGATATGCAGAAGTAATGAATAAAAAATATCTAAAATTTATCATATCCGCCAATGTGTAGGAATAGCCGCTGCATTGGCCTCTCTCGCATATGCTGCAATTAAGCCTCTCCTAACATATAGACACCTGTGTAAGCACTAGTAGCAGTATAAGAGATCTAATATGCTTATCCTGTTATTGAGGATAGAGGTAGAATCGTTACATGCTCAGGTAACGTCGATATATATCTTTGGATGCATGTATAAAATCAAACTGAAATCGTGCAACTAATGAAATTCTTTTGCTATATTTCCTCTGACTGTTTTCTCGGCCTTAGAAGCTGCTCAATCCTTATTGTTCCGAGACCAACAAGACAATAAATAGACCTTCATATATCGACCTGCTGGTGCCCTCTTTCAGTATAAACGCTGATCCGTACAAGGAGTAGGGCCAACATCATGGTTTATTCAAGTTTAGTACCAAGGAAACCCCAGATATATATCCACGGGTACTATAAAAAATCGGTATACATATATATAGTGGCCATTGCAATTACTAGACAACTGCACATGTTTACCGGTGGATGATGTTTGATAACGGGGAAACAGACCTGAAGGCCTAGAGCATGGGATAGATATCCATGGATGTTTATACAGATAAAAACTCCAGACATGGACAACTCCACATCAACATAGGAGACCGAATCGTGTACTCAGACAACTTGAATATTTAGATCATATTATGTCCATGAATGCCATGTCCACACCAACATCAAACCCTACGCTTTACTTTGCGTCCGGACCAGACAACTCTAGCAAGGATCAAGGAACCAAGTGGCAGTATACGGTAAGGTCAGAAACCCGGGAAAGAGATAAGAAAGTCATGGCGCCATAATCTTTTTGGAGGTTGTATCAATCGTGTTTAATTCGCAAATAAGCGGATCCACCACATTCCGGACGAAAGCCCGCCGGGGGACTCCCCAAAAAGAAAATATCTCATGAAATCAAGGCGCTGATGAGGCGGGCTTTCCGTCCGGCACCGTTCCCACACTCCAAGGCTCCCGGTCGCTGCATTTTTGATTTCGAACAGAACGCGTCGAGTTGTTTAAGAGCGGGGCTTCTCCTTCTTCTCCTTCCAGAGAGCGGCGAGACCGACACCGGAGACCTTGACGACCTTGAAACGGACACCGGGAATATCACCCTTGGCCTTACCCTTGCGACCGAAACCGGCGAGCAGGACCTCGTCGTTCTCATCGATGAAGTTCAAGCAACCGTCATTGGGGACTGTAAGAACATGCTAGTTAGCACATGTTTGTGGTAGTTGTGTTGGCGGTTTCCATCTTGTCGTGATTCCAACTCGTATAGACTTTTCCAACACATTCATATCAATAGTATTAAGGAAGGGGGTTACCCACCGAAAGCAGCGACCTTCTTGCCGTTCTTGATGAGCTGAACCTTGACACACTTGCGGATAGCGGAGTTGGGCTGCTTGGCCTCAACACCGACCTTCTCGAGAACGATACCCTTGGCGTGGGAAGCACCTCCGAAGGGGGAGGACTTGTAGGCGGTTCCGAGAAGACGCTTCTTGAAGTGGTCATCAGCCCAGCGCTGATCCTTGCGGTGCGCCTGGAGCTTGCGGGCGGCGTTCAAACCACGGGGTTGTCCTTTACCCATGTTGGCGGATTATGTGTTCGACGGTCAACTGAACGAGAAAAAAATTGTTAGCCTCGTGTCGAGTGCAACGGTGGTTGTGCTGATTGTGGGTATTTTCGATGCGTGTTCGATGTTTGGAGAGGGTCGATTTTTTGTGCGTGATGGATGCGATCGTTGACGAAGGATCTCGCAGTGCCACGAATAGAATATTTCCGGAAAACCACAAACAATGCACGGGAAACAGCAGGATATCGAATACGTACCGACTGGGAGGGGTGTTGTCGGCCAAAGGGGCTGAGGGTCGAATGTCGAAAAGTCGAAGTGTTCCGGATTTCCCTTACCACACGCTTTGGATGCACCTCAGGTGACTTTGTGCGCTTAGCCCTAAGCGAGTCACGGGACAGCCGTAGCCCCCACCTCAGATTATGTCATCATTCCGATAACGATAAGGTTATCAGCTTTATCATCAACCCCATTCGAATACATACTCCCATGTCTGTTGTTTTCTCGAATAATTTGTTGAAGATGGACTTATCAAGAAAACCCACGAATCCAAATCCCCAGCGCCTACCTCCCCCAGCCCTTTTTCAGGGCCCACCATCACACAATGCCTCTAATATTTCCTTACCCGTACCACCTGCAGCCTCAACGTTAGCAACTGCCTCCGGCGGCCAACCTCCACCCCTGCATCGGAACCGGTCACCTCGTGGAACCGAGGGAGATAATGCTGAGAAGTCGAGCTTGTTATCGCCATTTGTATCACGCCGCCTTTCCAAAAATGACGTAGACGGATCCGATGCCATATGGCAGGAGATGCAAAGTGCCCTGTCAGAAGTGGAACTCAGCGCTGTGACGAGCGAGAATGTCTTCGGCGCAAAGCACTCCGAAGCATTGGAAGATCTACGTATGAAACAGTTGAAGCTCGCTCAAGCCTGGGCGCGCAGTGAGGCAGACGACGAAGTTGTGGATCCCGGCCACAGCGGTGCCGATGTAGCAAGTGGAAAAGCCAGCTCGGCGAGACGGGGCGTTGAAGAGTTAAATCCCCAGCATGATACAGCGACGGAAACTAGCGCAGGCCGCGGTTCGGTCTCGCACCGCACGTTGGACAACGAGACTGAGAAAGACATCCATCTTGCGCGAAAGCGCCGCGAGGCTAATGACCGGTACTTTGATCGGGT